CACCGTCAACCACCTGCCACGAGACCAGTCCCTTAGAACCGCCGTCTCTTCCTCTCTCTATTCCGCCCCATCCCTGACGACAACAGCTACCGTAGTTGTCGGAATTTCACAAAATTCGGCCGATTTTTTACCCAAACTTCCTAGAGTTCGTTTGAGCAATTCCAGCCACCAATTTCTTCGATCTAGGTATGCTTTTTCATCATCTCAATGTGTTCCAGCTAATGATTGGGTTATTTAGGATCGATTTCTGCATTTTGTAACTCGAATAAGTAATTGAAATTTGGCTGGTTTTTGGCTCGCAATTCCGGCCACTTCCGGCCACTTTTTGGGGTTGGTCCAAGAACAAAAGTTGATCCATTCATTGTTCTGATCATGTAGGTATAGGTCTTGACCGGCGGTTTCGAGATTTTCCAATCTCCAGCATCGCTTTGGACACCCACGCGCTGCCGGTGCGTGGGCACTATTTGGGTGTCCCTCTTGGTCCTAAAATGATCCTCATGTTGTCTCGAACATGATGGTATGCTTGGATTTCAATTTGGTTACCATTTGACTATCGATCGGATATCACATATTAGGCGTTATCCGAGTTCGATATGATTGGACTGTTGGATTGACTCCAATTTATGTTGATCTAGGCACCTCTAGGATCGTGTAGAGATTCATGGATCGCGAATCAGAGTCTTGAATACTCCGATTCAATAATTCAATGTTTAGGTAAATGGTAACCGTCCGATCGTGAGCGATTCAACCGTTCAATTTTGACCAAACTTGCAGGGCATGTGTTAGTAAAATGTGTTGAACCTATGGGAACTCTCGGATTGGTAATCGGAGGTCGTGGACCCCATGTGGACCGGAATTACCAATATGAGAATTTAATCGCTTATTCAATCTCAAGTCTTTTCAGACCATTCCACCTGTCAGAAATGTTGAAAATGGGTCTAGGAACCTTCATAAGTTATGTACACGCACTTTTGAGGCAAGGGGGTCAGGATTTTGATTAAATATCTATGGTTGAGCTATTTTATTAATTAAATGTTTTAATTGCTTAAATAGGTACTCGGGCTTCATTGAACCCACAGTAAGGACCCTCGAAGGGTCAAGCTACCTAGGATGCTCAGTGAGTGGACTTTTGTTCTTAAATGAATTTTATGCAGTAAAAGTTTTATTATTTCTCTGGAATGAATTATTTATGATTTTTGCTTTCCAAGCAATTAGTTTGAATCCAAATATTTTTTTTATTATTAAATTCTGTTTACGTTTAAACATGAATGGCTTGGAAGGTAGAAAATGAATTGATAACAGGATTTAAGGAGAAATAGTTTTATAATTTTTCCAAGAAAAGCTTGTGTTTTAAACCACCATAGGTACCCAACATGCTATATTCAGATAAAATGTTGCCTTCGGATATAATGATGTCTACAGATATCCTAGTTGCCTTCGGTTGAGTCAGCGCACGTTTGACAGTTGCCCCATGACTCTTAAGGATATCCGGACCGTGAGGAGTGAGGATACGGCTCAGGTTGACCGAGTGTCCCTTGAGTCTTGCGAGGAATGCGGCTCGGGTGACTTTGTGTTTCCGAGGCTTGCGAGGATGTGTCGTTTATGTGACACTTGTAATTGACAGTATAATGTGGGAGATAAATATAAAAATCATGGAATTGATGGAAATATGATGGGTATACCTAGGTGGAAAGGAATTATTCCTTTACCATGCTTTTTAAAGGTTTTGATGATTTGATTGAATGTATGATCAATTATATGTATATAAATATGCATGTCTTAATTCTTGTACGAATATAGAACATGTATATAATTGGATTTTCAAATGGTTTTAATAGTGGGGTTAGTATGTTAATATTCTATTTTTCTAAAGCTTTATTTTGTCCACTCACACTTTTAAATGTTTTGTGCCCCCAGGCAGTAGTCGTGTACCAGAGCACCACCACAGGGCAGTCATCACTCATCACTGCTCCTTTTCCTCTATGTAAGATGTTCCAGGCAGTAATCGTGTACCAAAGCACCACCACAGGGCAGTCATCACTCATCACTCCTCCTTTTTCTCTATGTAGGATGTTCTCTTGTAATTGTTCTATTTTTGTAAATTACTGAATTAGTTGGCTCTGAAATTGCCCTAGAATTTTTGTAAGGTCTGAGGCCATAAAGATTTGTTGTTGGGTTGCATGAATTCTAACTTATGCATGCTGAACGGTTGTGGATATTTGAATTGCTGTTGTACATGTGAAAAAGTTTAGGAACAAGCAATTTACAGGGGAGACTGCCGAATTTTTGGCAGAAGTCAAACCCTAAAGAAATTTTTTTGAATTTTAGTTAGAAGGGCAATTTGGTCAAGTGTACTCGGCACTTGCCAGGCGTTGAACACGCACAGGGCTCGACTTAAATTCCAAAGTGGAATTTGAGTTGGGTCCTGTAACCCTGTCTCAAATCTCACCCTAATCTATGAGATTTTTCACATGGAATTTTTTTTTTGGTTAATTATAGTTTAGTACCCTATGGTTACACCCTTAAGACATGTTAGTCCCTATATGTTCAATTTTAACAATCACTTACTTCGGTCTTTTAAATTTGTTACAATGTAGTTCCACCGTTAGAGTTTCTGTCAAATCTCTCCGTTAGTTGCCGATTCCTCTTCAATTCCAAAACCCAATCAACCATCTTCATCCAAAGCCAACATTTTTAGTCCCCAGAGGAACTCGCCTAATGGTTTCAGCCAAGAAAAGACCACCCATTGAAGGTGTAAGTGAGGAGCTGAATTCGATCGCTAACCAGAACCTCGGCTTTGCAGGCAGGTTCGATCCACTTTTGTTGAGGTTCAATAGCAGCTTGATCGGATTGGGGTTTTGGGGTTTGATTCGGATTGGGGCTTTGCAGGCAAGTTCGATCCATCTTTCATCATTTTAACCTTGACTTTTACCAGTTTCAGATAAAATTTTTTTTTTTTTTTTTTTTTTTTTTTTTGTGGTGTGTGGAAGTTTGATCGGATTGGAATTGGAATTAAAAGTGTGCTTGGTTTTTTGGGTGGGGGAATAATGGTGGGCTCGAAATTGTGGGTGCTGGAGAGAGAGAGAGAGAGAGAGAGAGAGAGGGAGAGAGTTGTGGTGAGGGGAGGGGTGGCTTGCTGTAGGGAGGGTGGGGGATGTGAGGGAGAGCTGCGGTGATGGGAGAGGTGGCTTGGTGGAAGTCGGGGCTGTGGAGAGGGTGGAGGGTGGAGGCTGCGAGAGAGAGGTGGTGCAGGTGGTAGTAATGGGGGAGAAAGAAACCCTAACGGCGCTAGTTTTGAGTCAGTGGGTTCCAAATTTTTTTTCCTTCTCTTTTTCAACTTTTTCTTAAAAATAATATTTTATTCATATTTTAATCAATTTAAAATTTAAAAAATAAATAACGTGAGACCCACAGTGCCATGTAGGCAATTAATGAAGAGATCAAACAGAAATCTTAACGGCGGAACCACATTGTAACAAATTTAAAAGATCGAGGTATGTGATTGTTAAAATTGAAAAAATAGGGACGAATATGTCTTCAGAGTGTAACCACAGTGTACTAAAATATAATTAACCCTTTATTTTTTTCTCGGGGAAAGATGAACTTACATGCACAAAAAGCTTCTCTCTTTGCATCTCTCGTATGCGGGGTTTAGTCCAATCGTGCGAAGAGAAGTTGGTCACTGAACTCCAATTTTCTCACTCTATCTCTAATGGCACCAACACTACATATGTCCGGCCCACTTAAATTATACAAACCTATCAAACATACCATCCCATCCTCTCGTGCAATTCTTCTACTCCTCTGCAAAACAGACATAAGCAACTTCTTTGTAGCCATCCAGCAACTCCTCTCCGCAGCCACTACTAGCAACTCCGCTCAACTTCTCTGTAGCCAACAACTTCTCTTCTTGGCAATAAGAAGTATTTTTCTCATTCTCTCCTTTTTAATTATCTTATGCATCTTTAATTTGAATAAAAAATGTTCTAGAGTTTAATTAGGAATGACTTATAATTTGGAGATTTTGTTGAAATTAATTAGGACTTTGATTTTAGGAATTTTGTTGAGATGTTTAATTTGTTGTTGGTATTGTTGAGATGTTTAATTTGTGTGTTGATATGTTTGATTAAATGCATTAATTTGTTGTTGGTATTATTGCGGTGTTTGATTTTTTTGTTGGTATTTTTGTTGAAACGTTTGATTAAAATCATTTATACATATTATTTATTTTATAGGTTATCTTTTATTATGTCGGAATACAATTGGAACCCCAAGAAAATAAAGACTTTGTTGTCTTTTTTTAAGAAAAAGAATGATGAGTCATCATCTAATACAAATATCAATTATCTTGAATGTGATACAGGAGTACGTCATCTAATATGCAAATATTCAGTGAATGAACAAGATAATGTGCGAAGAGCATATATTCTTTCAGGGCCATGTCAACTCGAGTTAGAAGATTATCTAAGCCAATTAGAAGGGAAAATCTTACATTGATTTAATAAAAAGTGGTTTGGCCAATTCTCTTGGCTTGAGTATTCAGTTGCTAAGAACAATAAATTTTGTTTTTCTTATTTCCTATTTGATAGAAATCAATAATTCTCGGCCTTGGTTCCTATCTACAACAACTACGGAACGAGCTTTCTTATGTATGAGAATTATTGAATCGACTTCGAAGCACCATAGGTGCTGAATTTCTTGTTGATTGTATGATCATCCACATTGAAAGAGAGTTTGCCAATACTATCGACAATGCATCAATAATTGAGGAATTTAAGAGTTCTAAACCTCGTAGGGTTAAATTTTATATTTAAATAGTGCTGTTTTGTATTGCATTACATTGCATTTACTTTTGGTTTTTATTTTAGTTTTTGTATTTGTAGATATATATATATATATATATATATATATATATGCATTTGAGGGTAAGGCTCATTACGCCCCCCTCACTATATGTATCTTTTAATGTTTATTAATGAAATTCACTCGTACCATCAAATTTAGTATATAAATTTTGCCCAGTCAGCTTTCGAATCCTGTAACTGCCACTGCACCACCCTCTTCAAGACCCTTCTTCCAAAACCAAAACCCAGCCACACCAATACCACCGCAACTGCCTCCACCACCATCGCCGCTGATAACCCCTCTTCTCTAAGAGCTCCTCCTCCACCCAAAACCCTAAACCCTAAACCAAACCTCCCCTCCCACCCTTGCCAGAGCACACACTCACATCGGCAAGTCACGTGATGGTGGAACCTTAGATTTGAAAAAGGAAACTTGCAGAAAAACAGAGAAAAGAGAAAAGAGAAAAGGAAATTCATTTCATTTCATTCATTCCTCTCAAGCAAAAGAGAAAAAGAGTTTATACAATTCCTGATTGTGCCCAGCTGGCTACGATCTAGCAAAGGTTCTAACAAAACTTCCTACAAATAGGGAAAGGACAAAGCTGTTATTCTGTGTGGGAATAGCTAGGTGATGATACTAAGACAATACTAAGGTGATAGTAAGTGGGCTGCAAAGAGTATTAGGCTCAAATGGGATTAGGTCCTAACACGTGACTCCAACCGCGGCAAGACCTGGTCCCACCACCGCCTCTCCTCTCAAGGTCAGCATAACCTCCATTCCTTTCTCGACCCACAATTTGATTCTTCTAAACTAGATGAGCAGCTTTCGGGTTTAGTTGAATTGCATAGAGATGAATTTGGTTCTAGGTTGGACTCTCTGTCTCTGGACGTCTTGGGTATTGTTAAAGGTTTAGGATTTCACAAGAAATTCGACTTGGCCATAGATGTGTTTGAGTGGTTTAAGAAACGTGAAGATTGTGATTCAATTTTGAGTGGTTTAGTATTCTAAGAAAAGTGGGTAGGGTTTCTTCTGCAACTTCTTTGTTTCAAAGTTTGCACAAGGATGGGTTTGCGCTTGATGTTTACGCTTGCACTTCTCTGATTACTGCTTGTGCCAGTAATGGGAGATATAGGGAGGCTGTGACTGTTTTTAAGAAAATGGAGGAAGAGGGCTGCTGGCCCTCTTTGATAACTTACAATGTGATTTTGAATGTGTATGGGAAAATGGGTATGCCTTGGAATAAGATTAGAGCGCTTTGTTGAGTGTATGAAGAGTGCTGGGATTGCCCGGATTCTTATAATTATAATACACTTATAACTTGTTATCGCTGCGGGTCTTTGCATGGAGTTTAATGGGTTTTCTCCAAGCATTGTGTCTTACAATTCACTGATATCAGCCTATGCCAGAGATGGTTTGTTGGAGGAGGCAACAGCCTTGAAAACCCAGATGGTGATGAAAGCGCATGACCATTGCATAATAGTTGAACATTTCCATTTTTGATTCTTCCTTGTGGTTTCTTATCTGTCTATTAATTGATATTATGTTTTTGGTCGCTTGGTCAGGATGAGTAAGATGGGTTGATGTTGTGAGAGCTTTGTCACTATCATGCCCTTGATCATTTTCTTGCAAGTATAAATAGATGCGGTTGCTCTTTGAATAGTTGCATGCATTATTGCCCATTATTAATGGTGAGAAAATGAACAAGAAAAAGACAGGGAAGGACTTTCGAGTAGGCAATCAACCATTATATATTAACCTATAGGGAAGGTGAATATAGGGTGCAAATTTTTGCCTTTAGGGTAGAGAGAGAGAGAGAGATATATATATATATATATATATATATAATACAAGGGTAGAGATATATATATACAAGGGGCTTTCTCCATTACGGATTACTAATTTGCGGATTGAATGCGGATTTCTATTTGGAACCGTTAGATGTCATTGGCGGTGGAGATTTAACATAAAAAGCAAAACATAACAAATTCCCCTCTGTACCGCCATTTGAGAAACGAAAAAACAACAGGCAAACCCATCCAATCCAGGAGACCCGTGCTCCTCTATCGTCTTTCCCACCAAAGAAACATTTCTTCCCCGTGCATTTCGGAGTTCTCTCTCCCGCCTGAAGAATTTTGCTCCAAGCTTTGCTCCATACCAAGGGGCAATAGCTCAAAGAACAGAATTTGAGAACCAAAATAGTTCACACCAAACTAAATTAAAGTGTAGTCACTGACAGCAAACAATAAGAGCTTCTCCACAAGAGTTAATTTTTCTCTAGTTTTTATTTTTATTTTTTCTGACAGCAAACCCAAGAGGCACCGACCTCTCAAATCTCTCAGAAGAGTCTCTCAACAGTTTTTTCTCTTTCTTTTTTCCTTGTACTGATGGAATTAGGCGCAGAAGACACCAAGTCCCAAATGACCCAAAACCCAGGCTTCACAGCCTCCTCCCTCTTTGGTGCTGGTATTGACAAGCGATGGCCTGCCTCCACCTTGAGTGATAATGTTCTATTTTTTAAATCCAAAAAAAACAAAAAAAAAAAAACGCCACAAACCCACAAGCACAACAAGAAGAAGAAGAATAAAATCCCCCAGCAGTCCAAGCCACAATCCCAACAGTCCAAACCACAAACCTACCTGAAGAATTTTGCCAGAGAACTGTGGGCAAATGTGGGAAAGACGATAGAGAAGCACGGGTCTCCTGGATTGGATGGGTTTGCCTGTTGTTTCTTTGTTTCTCAAATGGCGGTGCAAAGGGGTATTTTTTATGTTTTGCTTTTTATGTTCAATCTCCACCGCCAATGACATCTAACGGTTCCAAATAGAAATCCGCATTCAATCCGCAAATTAGTAATCCGTAATGGAGAAAGCCCCTATAATACAGATATATGTAACTTACCAAATATAACTTACCTTCACGGAAAGTGCTCTTGGAGGTGGTTAATTATTTTTGCGTACTTATAAGTAAGGTGAGAATTCGGGTGCAAGCTGTTACCTTTTCAGTAGGTGATAAACTACTAACCAGTTGAGTAGTTCATAAAGAAGATTTGGAATTTCAATTGTCAGTCAAACTACTCAAAACTGGAATTCGACCTCATAGTGTACTCTGCCACAAGCTGAGCAAAAGATGACTTGTTCTCTAGCAATGTTGCAGGAGAGTCATATTCCTCAATAAGCCCTACAACAAGAACAAAGATGCATTAAAAAATGAAAAAGAATTTGAGGTTCAGTGGTAACTAGAGGAAGTTGAATGCATTCATTTGGCAGTACTAACCGTGACTCAGAAGCAGAACCATGTCACTATCAAGAACAGAAGTTATACGATGTGCAATAGTGATGACTGTACAGTCAGTAAAGTGTTGGCGAAGGGTCTGCTGGATGAGATTGTCTGTAGCTGTATCGACCGACGCCGTAGCTTCGTCAAGCACCAAGACCTTACTTTTCTTGAGCAGCACACGGCCAAGGCAGACCAACTGCCTCTGACCCATACTCCAGTTCTCTCCATTCTCACAAACTGCAGCAACCATATGAACATAAAAAAAGAATTTCCATGACGTAAAATGGAATCTAGTGCATCATATATAGCCTGGATCTTAGGGTAGCCATAAAACAAACCTGTAGAATCCAGCTTTCCTTCCTTACTCCTAACTTCATCTCCAAGTTGACATTTATCCAGGGCCTGAAAAAATCAAAAGATGTTTTAACTAGTCCCACGAATTTAGAACTGCAAATCTATAAATGAAGAACATTTAGTAGGAAGAAGCTTCCTTTCATCAGTGTAAAACCAACCAACCTCCCAAATTTGCTCATCTGTGTACTCTTCAAGTGGGTCCAGATTGCTTCTTACAGTCCCTTCAAACATGGTTGGGTCCTGAGGGATAATGCTCAGCCTAGACCTTAGATCATGCAGTCCAATTGAAGATATATCAATACCATCTATCAAAATCTGGCCAGAAGCAGGATCCACAATTCGGAAAAGGGTCTGTATGAGAGTCGATTTGCCACTGCCAGTTCTACCCACAATCCCAGTTTTCATTCCTCCAGGAAAGCTACATGTGATACCTCGCAACACAAGCGGCATGTGTGGGGCATACCGGACCTATATAAACATGAAATTCGAGTCACACATGAATGAGCCCATATGTTATGAAAGAAATAAACCAGAACAGCAAGTACCTGAAGATCATGTATGTCAACTTTTGCATGTAACGGCCAAGAACGATCTGGCTGATTCGATTCTATTACAAGTTGAGGCTCACTGGGAATGGTAGTGTACTGTAGTAATCTTTCCACTGATATTATTCTGTTCTCCACATTGCAAAGACTCCATATAAACCACCCCTGTAACATGTTTAGATTAAGTCCATATGTGACAGCTAAGCCCGCAACACCTTTAGAGTAAAATACCAAAAACAAATAAGAAAAGAGAGAATTCATGGATTTGGTTTACGATTTGCTTTCAAAAGAATAATTAGTAACACACTAAACGAATACCACTTGCCTGGATCAATCACCCCTGCTGGAATAGAGATCAAGAAAATCAAATAGAATCCAAAAGTGATAGATGACAACATATCCAAGCGAAAACATAGCCATTCCATTGCAGCTGCAGTATGAAAATTAGGCCGACCATAACCATCCATCAGTTTCATGTTTGTATCCCTAAATCTTGATTCTTGATCGAAGCTCCGAATAGTTGTCGACCCTGAAATTGTTTCAGCAAAGTGTTGTATCACTGGAGCTTTGTATACTCCAACCAACCGTGCTAGTTCTCGTGCTGAAGATATGTAGTATTGCTGCATGAATATAAAATTTTTGAGCATCTTTCTTCACATTTAACGTAGTTCATATAGATTGCTGGCTGTAACAGGAGTTAAGTTTGTTATATGGATTCATATTGTCAATCGTGTTCCATGTTGTGCCAATTTAGAAGTTTCTAAGAACTGTAGCAGAAAAAGGTGGAAGAAAATGTTAATATATCAACTTAGTGAACTTTTATGTCAATAAGGAAGCTATGTTCCTCAGTTCCACATCAAATAGAAGGTAGGGCATGTATAGGCATGAAAACGAGAATCAACAGTGCATGATCAACAAAGAATTAACACTAAAGGGACATTAACATTTCCATGTTAGATTTCATGTGGAAATTCATGTATTGATACAACGTATAAGATAGGAGCAGTCGGACAAAGAAGTGTTACCTGTAACCAGATACAGATTGCAATCACAGGGATAAAAATGATGAAAACCTGCCATGCAACTTGCGACATCATTGCAATAATTCCCAGAAGCTGGATCATTGAGTTGGCAAGGTGCTCAATTTGATCTGGCATGCTCAAGTCCACTACATTTTGGTCTGTAGAAGCCTGCATGAAATCAATTAGCTACATTGATGAGATTACTGCATTCAGTACAGTAGCAGAGGGAGTGGCAGCTGTTTAAAGCAAAGAAGGAAATTACATAAAAATCATCTAATTCTCTTTGAATATCTCAATAAGGCACTATATTAGAAATATATTTTGCTTACTCTGTTTAGTATTCGTCCACTTGGAGTGGCATCAAAGAAAGACATGGGAGCACGGAAAACACATAAATGCATTTTACTAAAGAGTAGAGTGGCTGTCTTGTACCCAGCTGTTGCAAGAAACATGGATATGAAGAGGATACAAAAAGAACTTCCAACAGCCAAAGCAACATAAACAGTTAGAAGTGTAGAGGTTTCAACAGCAGGTTTCACATCCTCTGAAGCAGGAGTTGCCCAAGCCATCCAGTAATTGCTTCCAATTTGAAGGACCTGAAAGAGAACCTGTGCAAGCAAGATAAACGGAACAAGAGCACCTCCGTATGCTGTGGTGATATACTTCCAGTAGACTGACAACCCAACTCTACCTTTCTCTCTCTCTTCTTCTTGAACAAGCTGCCCTTTGGTAAATTATCTGTCTTAGACTTTTGAAAATCAGTGTCTTCTACGTTTTGGACAACCCCACTAGTACTAGCAAATTCTCCATCTTCTTTGCTAACGCTTAATTTCACAACTGGCTCCACCTCTGCAGAATTAAGCATGGACAAAGCTTCCGCATGTGCTCCCACAAGTTCCTTAAAATCAGTTCCTGAATTAAGAATGTCATTGAACTTTCCTGCTTCAGTAATCCTTCCGTCTTTCATAACCTAATGACAAACAATAAGTTTAAGCAGACAGATACTAACTAGATAATAACACATCTTATAAATTAAAAATCGAAGAAAAGCTCTGAATTTTTTACCAAGATGAGGTCTGCAGCAGGTAAGAACTCCACTTGATGAGTAACATAGATTACTGTTTTTGAACCCAAGAGACCCAGCAAGCATTCCTGTGGTGCAATTATCAAGCAAACAAATTAATAATGAAGTGTCAATTTTACGGATGCATATGCCAATAATTCTATGATGTAAATAATTTTGGATACTCAATTTAAACTAGATGTAATCACACTACAAGAGGGAAATGAAATACCTTAAAAAGGTGTGATCCTGTATGAGCATCAACAGCGCTAAAAGGATCATCAAACAGATAAATATCAGCGTCTTGATACAGAGCACGTGCAATTTGTATTCTTTGCTTCTGCCCTCCACTTAAATTGATTCCTCTCTCCCCTATAATTGTCTGATCACCAAACAATAGAATTTCCAGGTCCTTCTTTAATGAACATGCTTCAAGCACCCTCTCATATCTTTCTCTGTCCATCTCTTGACCAAACAATATGTTTTCCTCTATCTTGCCACTCTGTATCCATGGTGACTGAGAAACATAGGCCTTTGTCCCACACATTTTAAGAGTCCCCGATATCTTCGGAACTTCTCCCAGAATACAAGAAAGTAAGCTAGACTTGCCTGAGCCAACAGTACCACAAACTGCAATCCTCATACCTTGGCTCACTTTGAAATTTAGATCCTTCAATGTTGGACTAGGGGATGATAAATCCCAAGAGAAATTCCCATCGACTATCTCAATTGCTGTATCAGAACTACCTCTTGGAAGGTTCTCTATAACGTCAGGCGGCAAGTCATCAAGACTAAGGAATGATGCAATTCTATCAATGGATACCTTAGTTTGTGCTATCATTGAAATTGTGTCTGGAAGACTGTAGATAGGCTCTTGAAGAATCCTGAATGTTGCAAGTGCAGATAAGATCTTCCCCGACTCAAGTGGGATCCCCAAAAGCATGCAAGCAACAAAAGTGACCACTGACACAAATGTGGGGGCACCCCAGAAAACAAATGAGGTCAGGGCAGACGTGTAAACAAACTTTCGTAACCATCCTGCCTCAGTCATCCTGAGCTCATTAATTTTAGACAAAAACTTCATCTCCCATGCTTGAAGCTTGAGAATCCTCATGTTCCTCAAGATCTCAGATGTTGCCTTCATCCTTTTATCTTTTGACTCCATTAACTTTTCCTGAAACTTCTCCTGCAAGGACCCCAAAGGAACATTTGCCAACATAACAATTATTGTTGCAACTAAAGTTGCAATGGCTGCAAGACCAAGATTTATGTACAAAATCACTAGGGCCAAGCCAACTTGTAGAATGATCATCCATGGTTTATGCATGTACCAAGAGAAGTCACCAACCCTCTCAGCATCAACAGTCATAAAATTGATAATCTCACCGCTAGTGTGGCCCTGCTTGGACTGGCATGACAGGGTCAAACCCTTATTATAGATCGCTGTAACAAGTACCGCTTGGATTCTTACTCCTGCCTGTTGTGCCTTAAAGTACCAGTGCCTTTCACAGAGGCACTCCACCAGCTTCGCAACCATAAATGCAGAA